CCAGAGCGTTCGGCCTCTGGAATGCTCTGGAACTAAACCCGGCCGGCTCACTTTGTTTTGGGGCGTGGGGGCGTGTTGGTGCATTGAAGTCAATGGCACCGCAGCCAGGCCCCAGTCCGCAGTGCGATCGCCAGCACCCGAACTAGTGGCGTATTAGTGCCTGCATTCCAGTCCAGTGCGATCTGCAAAAAATAGTGCATGCAGCATTTTTTGCAGATCGCACTGGACCGGAACGCAGGCACTAATGTGCCACACATTCGGGTGCTGGCGATTGCACTGTGGGTGGGGGGCATGGCTGCGGTGCCATTGACTGTAATGCACTTTCACACACCCTCCCGCCCCAAGCAAAGTGACTGGGCCCTCAGAACAGATTGCACTGGTATGAGACCAGAAATACCATAGTGATACACTGGGATGCTTTTTTGGTCCAGGAACAAGCTGTTCTGGTCTGGACATGATCTGAATATGGTGTGAGGGCCCATTCACACCACATCCAGATCATCTCCAGACCAGACCAGATTGTTTCCAGACCCAAAATGCATCCTAATGTATCCCTATGCTAATTCTGGCCTCTGTTCACACCATCACAGTCTGTTCCAGACTAGACCAGAAAAAAATACTGCATGCCTCATTTTGTCTGGCCTGGAATGCACTGGAACGCATGGAAATGCATAAAAAATGCAAACGCACCTGAAAGCCCATTTTAAGCTAAAAGAGAAGCAAAATAAAAAAACAGCTCCTGAATGCCGCAAAATCGCAGTAATAACACGGCAAAACGCAATGCACTGCGTTCCAGATCTGGTCCGGAAAATGATGTGAACCTGCCCTAAAGGGTCATGTACGAGCGACAAGCTACAGCGACGAGCTACAGGCGACATTGAGCTGTGAGATGTGGACAGCTCCATTGAAATGCATTGGACAAGCTACATAGTGCGATATCTGAGCGGAAATATGCGCGATTTCGCTGAAAAATCGCGCGATAAACTGCTCAGTGTGAACTTGGCCTAAGGGTCAAATACTTTAAACAAGACTCCTGTAGGGTTTGAATGGCGAAAGAGTTAAACCATTCAAGCGACTTTTGAAAGAGTCCATGGACTTACTACATCTTTCTCTTTCAGTGAAGATACATTTATTGAAAGAATCCTCTGCAAGTTTTGCATCTAGGAACACAGTCCCACCACCTGAACGTTCAATGTACTGTCCTGAAGATATTTCAGAATTATAGGTATGCCTGGAGAGGAATATTAGTTACTACTGCACAAAGAAGAAAATTGTTTTCCACATCCTTGAATAAATCTTCCTAGTGAACTCTTTCTGAGGCACTTAGAATCCTCTTTTCAAGAGCCAGTCCATCAAGCCAAGCAAAGCAAATTGAGAAGTGAGGTGGCAAATTTGGCCCTGTACTAACAAAACCTGCTGAATTAGGAGTGGCACCTAGTGAACCAGGCCCTTCTGGGCCACCAAGTGGCAATAAGAATGAGCTTGCATCTGACTTTCCCAGGTTATCCTCTATCCCAAGGTCTGTAAAGTTTCCAAAACCCTGTAAAGGTTGGTCAGTACATTGCCCTGGGACTGGGCCAAAATGCATCCTACCCTGCCACCAAGTGGCAATAAGAATGAGCTTGCATCTGACTTTCCCAGGTTATCCTCTATCCCAAGGTCTGTAAAGTTTCCAAAACCCTGTGAAGGTTGGTCAGTACATTGCCCTGGGACTGGGCATTCAGGAGTATGTCATCCATGTACGGTAGACCCAAAATTCCCTGGAGACAGAAATGTGATATAGGCTCTGCTAGGACTTTTGTAAAAACCCTGGGGGCAGCCGCCAGACCAAAAGACAATGCTTGGAACTGCCGGTGCTAAATGCCTTGCCTAATTTGCATTGCAAATCTGAGCTACTCCTGGTAGAATTGATGCATTTGGATGTGCAGGTAAGCATCCTGCAAATCTAAGGCGACCATGTGCCCTTTCACCGAGTACATAATCTCCATTGTGAATCTCTTGTAGATGAAAAACTTGCTAAAAGTTTTAGGATTATGATCATGCAGTAGTTCCCAGATGGTTTGCACACTACGAAGACATGGGGAAAAACCCTCAAAACTGCTGGTTTACAGGAACAGGGGTTATAATCTTCTGTTGGAGAAAGGTCTGGATGCAGTTTACCAATGCTCCTGCCTATTCTTGGTCTTTCAGCAGGCGGGTCAGAAAATGTTTGTTGGTGGAGGGAGGTTAAAAAGTCTAGCGCTTACCCCTCTTGTTGGACAACAAAGGGGCTGGGTGATTGAACTGAGGCAGTCTGCCCCCTATGCCTGACGCAGAATCATTAACTTCTAGGGAGTGGACTCCATAGAATAAAAAATAAGCCACCTTTAGGCTTGTTCTTATTAAAAACCTACCCTTGCCCTTAATGGGGATTTCACGTAGTCTAAATGTTGATGTAACTTCCCCTCTCCAGAACTTGAGCCAGATAGCCCATCTGATCAAATTGAGCAGGAGCCTTCTGTTCTTGGATGCCACGGTCCACTGTCCAGGATGTTTCTGGATCTTGGCCTATAGGGGTCTGTTGCAACTGTTCGCCTATTGCAGAACTTCTTCCTGCCTGGGAACTTTTTGCCTTTCTCAGCTGACCGATAAGACTGTGTCTAGCTCTGAATCAAAGAGAAAATTGCCCTTAATGGGGATTTCACGTAGTCTAAATGTTGATGTAACTTCCCCTCTCCAGAATTTGAGCCAGATAGCCCATCTGATCAAATTGAGCAGGAGCCTTCTGTTCTTGGATGCCACGGTCCACTGTCCAGGTTCAGCAGCTTCACTGCCAGGGTTCTTTACAGGAAAGGGACGACCCACTCTGTCTGTAGCTCTGGCACAGCTGGAAGTGGTTCACCATTGCACCAGAAGTGGTGTATTCTCCTCCATCCCGCACTTTCTGAAACAGGAGATGCTGGCCACATCACCTGGGGCTTAGATGTGCGTTACTTGCCGGGAATGCAACACTCCATCTGCTGCCTTTTATTATCCCACGTAGTGTAATATGGACAAGCCTGCTATTATCCTGAGCAGTGTAATAAGGTGTTCACTGCTATTATCCTGTGCACTGTAATATGGAGTAGCCCACTATTATCCCACGTAGCCTATTGTGGAGTAGCCCATTCTTATCTTGTACAGCATAATATGGAGTAGCCATGCACTGCAGTATGGCTATTACCACTGGTAATGTGGTTTACACTGCTATTTTCCTATGCAGTGTGATAGGAGTAGCCCACTATAATCTCATGCAGTGTAATATGGCTATAATCCCTTGTAAAGTGGTTTAGCCTGCTATTGTCCTATGCAGTGCAATATGTAATAACCTGCTATTATCACACACAGTCTATGGTGGAGTAACCCGCTCTTATCCCGCAATGGAGTAGCTATTATCAAACACACTGTAATGTAGAATAGCTTGCTAATTTCCCACGCAGTGTAATATGCTGTAGACTGCTATTGTCCTGTGCACTGTTCTATGGTGTAGAAGTCTATTATCCTGCGCAATGTAATACTGAATAGCCCGCTATTGTCCCACACTGTGTAATATGAAGTAGCCCGGTATTATCCCACACAGTGTAATATGGTGTAGATTACTAATATCATGTACAGCATATTGGAGAAGCCCACTATTATCCCATGCAGTGTAATATGGAGCAGACGGCTTTTATCCTGTGCAGTGTAATATGGAGTAGCTATGCTAGAGTAGCCCGCTCTTATGGCACACAGTGTAATACAGAGTAGCTCATTATGCTGCACAGAGTAATATGGAGTATCCTGTTATTATCTTGTACAGTGTAATATACTGTAGAACACAAATATCACATGCAGTATATGAAGTAGCCCACTATTGTGCCTGCTATTATCCCACTCAGTCTATGATGGAATAGCCCATATTGCACAGAGTAATATGGAGCCCACTATTATCCCATGCAGTATAATACGGTGTAGACCACGATTATACTGGTCAGTGTAACAAGAAGTAACCTGCCAGTCTCCAGTACAGTGTCAAATGGAGGAGGCTGCCACTGTCAGACACAGAGTAATATGGAGTAGACTGCTAACATCATGTGCAGTATAATATGGAGTAGCCTGCTATTGTCCTATTCAGTGTAATATGGGATAGTCTGCTATTATCCCACTCAGTGTATGGTGGAGTAGCCCACTACTATCCTGCACGGTGTAATATGGAGCAGCCCACCTTTACCCTGCACGGTGTAATATGGAGCAGCCCACCGTTACCCTGCACAGTGTAATATGGAGCAGCCCACCTTTACCCTGCACGGTGTAATATGGAGCAGCACGGTGTAATCTGGAGCAGCCCACCGTTACCCTGCAAGAGTAATCTGGAGCAGCCCACCGTTACCCTGCACAGTGTAATCTGGATCAGCCCACCGTTACCCTGCACGGTGTAATCTGGATCAGCCCACCGTTACCCTGCACGGTGTAATCTGGAGCAGCCCACCGTTACCCTGCACAGGGTAATATTAAGTACCCCCCTATTTCCCCCCAGCGTTATATAGAATAGCCCCCTATTATTCCACATAATGTAATACTTAGTAGACTGCTATTATCCAAATAAAGTGTAATGTGGAACATCCGGCTGTCATCCCGTGTAATCTCATGTGCAGTAGTCTGCTCTTGTTTTATAGTCTTTTGGCGCTGGCCTATCAGAAGATCCCAGATATACTCTCACAAATATGTCACAACGTGTCACTTCAAGCAATGCATAGAGGAAACGTAGGCCTCATATAAAGTGTATTGCAGACTTCCCTCAAGCAATCGTTACAGAGATCCAGTTTGATGGGGGGGGGGAAAGAGCAACCATAAACCGTATAACATTCGGCACGGCCGTGGCTCCAAATCACGTGACACTAGCCCCACCCATCTTCTACACTCGCCGGTTGCGCAGATACCACGTGATATTAGCGTGGAAGGCGACGCAGCTCTTACTCAGGCTCTGCCCTTTCCGCTCTAATCCGTCACGTGGTTGGGATCTGCGCTTGCGCAGTGCGGTGCCGGGATCCGGAAATGGGCTATCTGGCTGGTGCGGCTGCGCCCGGCTGCGCGGACTGAGGAGAGCAGGTGAGAATCGGCGGGGCCCTGCTGCCAATCCGACACCATCCTCTACTGTACCTGTTTTCCCCGGTCACTGGCCTTCAACCGCCTAGTGTACGGAGGTCTATATGCCCAGTCCGCCATGATATGTGTCTTCCTTTAGCCGGCTTGCCGTGCTCTGTCACGCAGGCCCTCATCCCCCCTCCCCCCCGGCAGCCTAGCCCTGTGCCTGTCGGCAGAAGTCGCTGCTCTGATAAGCGGTGTGCTGAAGGTAGTGGCCAGGGTGAGAGCTGTGTGGAGCAGAAGGAGGCTGCCACGTATGGCAGAGCCCAGCCTGATGCCTGTCTGTGAATGAATGACATCACACGTCTGCACTGACATAATATGTCACCAATATGTCTCCGCAACATGTACCAAGTACATGCTGTTTATTATAGGCCTCTGTGCCATCCTTGGAGGCCGATACCCGGCACGAGAGAGGACGAGTGCCCACCCCCCGCAGGGTGACTTTCACCTGCATTGTGGGGGGAAGGGGGAGCTTGGAGCTCATTCCATGTGACGTCACTAGTGTAAGTGAGAGACCAGTGTGTGCATATGGGGGGGCTGAGCCTCTCAATCATCTCATCCGGTGGGGGGGCACAATGACCTGCCTGTCACCCTGTGCACTTTGTTCCCTTTCTAGAACAGGAATCATGACCCAGCATTGCCTTCACAAGGTCCAGTCACATGTGATCAGCACAGAGTCACCAGATTGCCAGCCTTGCTTCTAGATCATGTAGGTAAAATGTTCTGCTCCCTTGGCACGTGTGTGCGGCCTGTAAATGACATGTGGGGATTGCTGTGCCGGCAAGTTGCTGCATTAAGCAAATACACTGAGATGACTCCATTCACAAACCTAACCCACCGCCATAATGATCCTTATTTGCAAACAGCTTTCAGCCATTATAAGGATCTTTATTTCCAAAAAGTCAGTTCTGTCCAGCCGTCAGCCAGCACAAGGATTGTTATTTCCATAAACTGAGTTGATTTCGGCTTTCATTTGTCAAATGGCTCAATTAAAGATCCTTCTTGTGTGAAGCCTAGTGAATTGAGCCTTTTGTGTCTCATCGGCTCCCGTGATCAAGGTTGGGCCGTGTTTTATGGCTTTGGCTATTCTTTTTTTTTTTTGTTAGGTTTCTCCTTTTCAGTCTTTTTTTTGGCAAAGTTCCCTCTTTTAGATTTCATCATTCGCAGGCTGAACGTTGCAGAAGAGCTGCACTCAGTCAGTCCAGGGACTATAGAGGTGGTGGTGGTAGTGGTTGGCTGCTCATTTCGATAATTATAGTTTCATTGGGAAAATATTGATATTTAAGCCGACAAATCTGCATTTGCGGTGGTTCCCCTCCCCCCCCCCCCACTACACAAAACCACGCTGGGGAGA